AAAAAATCCAAATAAATACTGATAATTTACTGTATCAACACAGAAAAATGACTCTACAGACTATTTTCACTTACTTCTGATTGATTTGAAATATATATCATTCCTGAATTTTGAGAAATACTCCAGGTGGTATATATATCACACCCGCCCCCAAAGGGTTAACCTCTCGATCATTCTTGAGTGTCCCAAGAAGTATGAAATTGTTGAATTTCTTAGGTTTCGCAACAATTCTGAGTTTTCAAAGTGCTAAGGAATCCTTGGAATCGTTGTATCCATTAGCTTCATTTGGATTCTGAAGTATCGGAAGTGCTATGGAACCCTTGAATTGCTTAGATTTCTTAGCTTTCAGATCATTGTGGAGTGCCACAAGCTGCACGGAATTCTTGGTATCCTTGGATTTCTTTGCGTCCCGACCTTTCTTGAGGATGTGGGTGTGGGTGTGGGTTATCTCTTCATTAACAACCTCACTCACATACGCACACCCACACCCACACCCGAACTAACTTAGGATATTTCACTCTTAGCTATACCCTATCTAACCATCATATTCTCAGTCGAAAAGCTTTGTAGTACCTTGAGAAGTTCCTTCCTGAGAGGATTCTTGAGGTTACGACTGCTATTATTGGCAAATGAAGTTTTTGAGGTCTCAGTGGTAGAGTGTGATGACTGGGGGCTGTTGGGATTTTTCTTTAAATGAGTGTTTCTATTTAATGTTGGTGACTCATTGGTCCTTGCCACCACTTCAACGTGATAAACATATGAGGAAGGAAAGAAAGAGAAGAGAAAGAAGTATGCACAAATATATATGTATGGAAAAGTGCATCAGAGATGTAAGAATATGTTCGATCAGTATCAATGCATATCGCGTAATAATACTCTTTGAATAATGTTGAATATTTATTTCCTGTGCTTGATTTTTCAATAATATTAGTTGGTTTTTTTATCCTATTTTGATTTATTCATATTTTCTTTTCTGTTGGTTTGCTTTTTTTGCATTCTGCGGCTGTAAATTTAAAATAAACATGCTATTTCCTATATTATTTCTTTTTTCATTTTGTTTTTTCATTTGATAACCTTGAACAAAGACTTGGTTTATTGTATCATTTAGTGTATTTTGATCAGCAGAATTAATTAACACATTCAGCCCGATGTGACCCACCTGTGGATCACACTATATTTTAAGAAAAAATTGTATAGAAAACCGCTTCCTTTTGCCTTTTACTTAGGCAGGAATTTACACATAATGTGTCATTTGCTCTGTCTTCAGTATTTTTTGATTTCTTTATTCCATAGCATGACGCTTCTCGTTGAAACAATCAAGATATACGCATCTCAAAGTCATGAAGGGGATTGTACAATAGAAAACGAAAAGGGAAAAATAGAATTAGCAAGAGAACTAGTGAATGTAATAGCGAATGACTGCAAGAAGAGAAGCACTGATACATACATATACAAGCATATTGTAGAATATCAAGTATGACGTAAACGAGTATATTATTAGGAAAAGTCCAATATAGAACATGTGATAACATACTGGGAAAAACCCAATAAGTCATGCTGGTAAAAACCAGTATGTGATGCATAGATATACTTGTCTATGTGATATACCAATCAGAAAAGAGAAAACAACGAGCCAGCACAGAATGAAAAGGACAACGAATGCATACAAAAATGAATGTGCTAGAGCTATTCTGTAATAAAGCTGACTCAGGCCGAATGTGTTAATGAACGTATCTTCTTATGGCTTCTGTTTTTAACGACTTGAAAAGTGTTATTTTCGATTTTTCATATATATATCATTTTCATTGTCATCATATCGTTGTTTAGAAGTTAGTACAACATTATCAGGACAACAATGATGTCGGTTTTCCTTTCTATATTCTTCACATACTTTTCTCATTTCACCTGCGTCCACCCACTATCTTATATTTTCTGTTGTTGATATATTGCCATAATCAGAATATGACATAGTGGAATGATCAAATTCAATTTTAATTTTTATAAGTTCATGAGAAAAAAAATGTACATGTCGTCTATGCAACAATCTTGTACACTCACACATAGACACATGAGAGGAAGAAAAAAAGATTTAGTCACTCGTTTTGTATGAAAGGATTCTGATAACATATTTAACAGTTTTTTTTCTTCTCGTCGAATTGAACAATAAACGAGCGTTAAAAGCAAATCGTGTCGTTGGAGACGAAAAATCGATCAGTCTTGACACTATTATTTTATACGGTTATGTGTAAGATAATAAATTCAAGTTTACTATGAAAAAAATCATTAAAAACGTAGAATGATATTAGCATCATCTGTTCAGCTGTCTTGATACAATTGTTGTGCTGTAGTAATGGTGGGGATAGATGCAATCTCTACACCGTTAGGTTGATCACCAAAGTTGAAGTGACATGCAAAAAACTGCATGATAATTAAAGTATCACATAGACACTCAGCTACGAGTTCAGAAGCATAGGTAATATACTCTAATGTATGCTTTGAGAAACGAAAATACAGCTATTCACATGTCACAGATATAGTCACAGCGATTACAAACAAATACAGAGCCGATTTGATCCAGCCATTTCGAAAACGTTCATATGTCTCTGAAAAAAAGTCGAATAAGAGGAAAAAAGCGATATTGTCTCAAGTTATTGTCATAAATTCTTGATTAATAAAGATAGGAATGAATATAGCAAGAATAACTTCCAGTCGAGAGATGAAATGAAAAATGTGTTTGTTTTCTACTTCAATATGATGATGAAGTTTCCAATATACACGACAGTAAATAAGTGCTATAATGAAGACTATGTCGAGAACCATCCATTCGGAAAATATACCAATTAAGATACTTGTCCTTCTTGTACATATATGAGAGAATATAGCCAATATGACCAGTTTCAACAAGTTCCCATAAGAGCAAGTAGTAAAAGAATAATAAGCAGTTTGATTCAATCGGAGCACAATATTGTAGATACGAAAAGACTTGGAGAATTGTTGAAAGAAGACCTTCATATACTGATGATGCAGATTTGTGTAACACATGGTAATAGTAAAATAGATCAAAGACATATGCAATTAAGGAGATAATTGGAAGCAAAATCATTGCCAATAAAAAGAAATTATCTTGCCTTTTGGTTGCGGCATGTATAAGAAGAGATGTTCTTCTTGTCATATTTTCAAATGTTCACTGTAGATGTAAACTTCTCATATTTTATACTAGCCTTAATAAATAACAGAGTTTTTTCCAACTTAAAAATAAGTTTTCTAATTGACAATCACCCATTCATTTCAATTTCTCATTAAATGACGTCAATATGTACGGTTATTTGTACTATACTTTAACTTTCTACTCTCTCCTCCTATCACTCATGTAGTCTATGGGAAACAAGTGGTGCAAAAAATTGATTCTAAATCAATTAAAATAGAAAAAATAACGAAAAATGTCGCAATTTCATCTATTATTCTGATTATTTCCGATTAACATCGATTTCATAGCTCTCAAGAAATTGCTTAGAATCACACAAAATTTATTAAAAATGATCTTTTTTGAACAATTTTAAATCAGTTTTAATTAGAAATAATCAGGATAATTGAAGAAAGATGGATACTTTTGATTATTTTTTGATTATAATCGATTTTTATATGATCTTTTTTTTTACATGGAAGGTAAATGAGAGAACGACTTGTACATTTTTCACTTTTGTCAGAAGTATGCTGAAACGATGGAAATGTTAAGCAAAAGGCCGCACATCATTTATTCTATTGAGATGGCTAATGATACAAAGACATTGTTTGCAGATTTGGTTGTTTCTATTCATCGGCATATTGTTTTTATTCGTTTTCCATATCTGTGGTAGAATGTTCTTATTGTCATTCGTCATGTTCAATTTTATTATGCATTATTTTCAAATCTTACTTATTTACTGTCTTGAAAAGATTACAATAAATATAATTCTATAAAAACGTTCGCTGGTAACCAATTTGTCGAAATGGCAAAGTAGCATAGGATGTGGGTCTCCATTTTATCCACACCCACATCCACACCCGTCATCAGCTTTACTTTCGTCATGACTGCACCGAAGTAGGTCCTGGTCGCACGCGCGCACGAATAAAATAATCATTTCTTTTCTTATTCAATGTCATTTATTTAAGAGAAAGAACGAAAAAATTTAATCATGCATTTGAAGCCTATTCCATAGAAAATCGTTGAATACGATGATTTCGATGATCGGCGACATAAAGATTTCCATGTGCATCGAAAGACAAACCCCTAAGCTCGTTAAACTGATTTGCTCTAGCTCCTGCGCCATTTCCACCCACAATAACAGTACCTCTCTTCGTTCCTTGAGGCCAGCGCATTACTCGATGATTTTGGACGTCTGCTACGTAGAGGGTGCCCAACGTATCGACGAACACTCCTTTTGGCTTCCACAATTGTGTTAGAGCATCCCCTACATCTCGACCACCTGCAACGACGATTCCTTCTGTTGCATCTTTATTCCATTTCATCACGCGATGATTCAGGTTATCTGATACGTAAACAGTCTGTTGTTGATCGACAAAGAGGTAGGTTGGACAGTCGAGTTGACTGAGATCATCACCTTCACCATAACCACCAGCCACAAGAATTCCGCTATTTTCTCCTATTTTGTATCGTCTTACTTCATCCTTTACTTCATCAGATATATAAACATATCCGTGATGATCCATGGCCAATCCATAACAATGGATATTATCCATTAGGATTGCTTCTTGAATTGTGCCATTAAGACGACACCATTGTAAAACTCGTCGATTTCCTTGATCACAAATAATAAGGCGATCCGTCTCTTTATCGATCAACGCATCGGTTGGATAACTCAGTTGATACAATCGATCTCCCCTGCCATTACCACCAGCTACTACTTTTCCATTTTTATCACCCATCTTCCACTCGACAATACGATGATTCCAGTAGTCAGTTATGATCATCGTTTCATCATAATCCACGAAGAGACCATAAGGATATGAGAGTTGGTTGGTGGCGTTGCCTCGTCCATGGCCTCCAGCAACAGTTATTCCATTCTGGATCCATCGAGCATTTGATGGAATATTGGGTATGACTACAATAAACCAGAGAAACAAAACGTATTGGCATCATCGTTGTTGCCTGCGAAAAGATTCTCTCTCTCTATCTCGCGCGTGGCGGGATAGTATTACAAACAAGATATTCTTCTCCTTCGAAGAGAACTTAATAAAAATTTCGAGAATTCTCTTCCCTTACCATCCGCTATATTTTGCAAAAGTTTGTCTCGTAGATATAATTTCCGAAACTGATTGAAGTTTCATAAATACGAATACAAAAAAAATCCTGTTCATTCGTAGAGAAATCCTATCAAAAGGAAATATGAGAGAATCCATGTTTGCAAGGATTTGTTGGAACTCTTGGTAAGATCTTTTATTTGAAACGAAAACTGAGGATCTGAGTAGAAATCTACACTAGGCTTTCGGTTATAAAAGACTAGGAATCAATGAAGATTATGTAAGTAGCTTTCAGTATTGTTTCCTGTTGAGTTTTTTAACTTTTATCTGAGGAGGGAACATATTTGAGTGGATTCCTTGAGATCAAGTTTTAAAGTGTTGTGTCTTGTAAGTACCTTCCCATATCCTCGAAATCGATAAAAAACTGGCGATTAATCGCCGATTTTTTTCCGATATTTCAACGGTTTTTTGTGATAAATCGCGATTTTGAAATTGATTATCGCCTTTCTTTCTGTTAATTATAGGCTTTATTTAGTGAACATAATTTCAATTTTTGCATAAAGTCACTATATTTTGTTATTGATTTATAGTGAACAATCATTTTTATTAAAAATCTCACTGTATGCATTATTCTTTATGAACACGACATACAAAAAAAAACAAATGAAAGATTGCGAATACAACAAGCAATTATTCACAGTTAAATCAAAGTGCAATTGAAAATTAAAAAAACAAATGAAAAGCTCATATGTAAAAAATAGTTTCTTGATGGAGGTTCACTTGAAAAAATGCTGCAAATAGTCATTTTCGTTTATGTGGTACATATAAATGAACTAAAAAAGAAAAATAAATTCCAATTCAAGAACAGGACCGTAATAGTAATGAGTCAAGATCTAGTATATTAAGATGTTAACTTTTTTAATTCTTTATCAGTCAAAGATTGAAAGATTTATCTAAAAGTAAATTTTTAGCAAAAAATATTCAGTTAAGAAAATAATTGATCTGAAAAGAATAGCTGCAATAAAATTATTCATTATAAAAAAGTTGTTTTGTACATAGACGACTTATTGATTGTATATGAAGTGTCTTTATTTCAGTTCAATTATTATTCAAAGTCCTCCAATCTTATACGTATCACAGTAGCGACACCCATACAAAAAGAATTTGCTTGTTATGTCTGAATTTCCATGAATATGTTAGAAAACGATATATGAAATATATTTCACTCTTGGTTTCATACAAATCTTTGAGTATGCTTCTAATTGATTGACAATTAAGAATAGAATACAGAAATCAGTGATTAAATCGTGATTAATCACTTGATTTATCACCGATTCCGAAAATATCGTTTCTTTGATGAGAATCGCGATAAAATCTGATTTGATCGCTGATTTTTGTACAGAATCCGATTAATCACGATTTTATGCCGATTTTTTTGAAAATCGGAAAAATCGTCGCGATTGTCGCGACATGGGGTTGATAAATATTACCAATATCAATATCTTACATGCTCCCATTTAAGTTTACTGAAATGAAAGAATCAAAATCCTTGGTTTTCAATCATAGCACTACTATAAAATGGATCATTTTCTACTCGTCTAAGAGTTGAATGGATAATTAAAATTTTCATGAAAGTAGGATAGATATTGAACAAAAGCCGGTATGAAAGAGCTGTCTTTTTTGATCACAAATAAACATATCAAAATTGCATCCCTACTCTTTTTAACAAAATATATACAGTAGCTAGAATGTATTCCTATAATTTCTTTATACTAACATACAAAAACACATGTTAGAAACGAATGTATACATGGCATAACTATTTCTTCTTTCATCTTTTCTCTGCACTTTTCTTAGCGTCGTTCTGTCAAAATATAATCAAAAGAAAGAGAACGAAGACATTTTTTTCTGAATACATATTTACCATGTTGATTATCTCATCTTACGACACTACTAGTTGAAAGTGGCATTCATTCTCTTTAACTGCTAGCTGTGAAGATGAAAACTTGGCCAGAAATACATGTTTGATATGCTAATTTGTGATGAAAAAGACAACTTTTTCATATCAACTTTTGTTCAATATCCATCCTCCTTCCATGAAAATTTGAATTATCCATTCAAGTCCTAGACAAGTGAAACAATGATTCATCTCATACTGGTGCTATGATTAAAAATCATGAACTCTGATTCTCTCGTTTTGGTAAACTTAAATGGGAGTAGGTAAGATATTAATATTGGTGATATTTATCAAGGTTCCTACAAAACAGAGCACTTTAAAATTGTATCTCAATGGGTGCACTCAAATATGTTCTCTTGTGGGTATTTATCATGATCATATTCAAAGTAGAATCATACATCGATGAAAGAGAGGTTAGATTTCGAGGAAGATATTTGAAGGTTTTTGTCCAGATTACGTACTAGATAGTCTTCGTTCTTTATGTTTTTTGCCAGCTTTTCGAGTAGTTGTTGACTAAAGAAGATGCTTATTATTTTCTCGATCCTTCAACGCATGTATTTTTTGCCGAGAGAACTATCTAGCTTTGAAATACATTAATATATCTATGATATTCATTACTACGATTCATAATTTTGTCAAGCATTAACATTGACAAAATCGAATGAAAGAAAAATGTTAGGCAACTCTTAACAAGGCACGAAAGAAAAATATGTTGTCCGTCTTCTAGCATTTAACAGCAAAATAAGAAAATATTACCAGGCTGAACAGGAACAGTCGAATGTGTTGAACTTTTTCTGCTCACTTCGAGAGTGCGTGTTGTTGCAGAAACTTGAAATTGTTGACGTGTCTCGGTTTCCACCACTTGCAGGAGAACTGTACTGTCGTTTCTGCTTTGAGCTACTGTCGTCCCATTGACACACGTTGTACAGTTTATTTCTGATGCTAGATCGTTGATTCGCAATCTATTGTATTGAGCAAAACGATCTATTCTATGAAACACTTTTGCTAGCGCTCGACTTACTGTGATCGCGGTAGTTGCCATAGGAAAGCACAACAACACACCACTATGATGGTCACAATCACCACTAGTGCGACGCTCTTGAGTCTGGTTCGCTTATTGAGCCTTGCATCACTAAGTGTCGTATAGTGCACACACTCACTTTGTTTTTTATTGTATTTCATCCGTCAAGACGGCACGAATTCTGTATCGACGCAGCTATGTAAGAGAATACAAAGTAACATGCTATCAAATAACGACAAAACATATTAAAACATGTAAAGGTTAGATAAAGCGCATTAGATTCTAACGAAAAACAAAGCAATTCGATTGATAATAGTATGGTTCCTTACGGCCGATCTTCTTATTAATCATTCATTTTGCACAAATGCTGCTTCCAAGCACGATGATGGGAATGTAGATTATATTCTTTGGAATAAGAAAAGAAAATATACATTTTATGTGTATTTTATGTACATATACGACTATTAAGATTGCATATATTCTATAGAACGAAACAAACTACACGAGAAAAATCATTCAATAGTGATATTTGAAAATCATCTGTAGATGAGTACTTATCTTTTCTCCCAAGGTACCAGACAGAGATATTAAAAAGTGGTGTTAGAAGTGTAAAGTTAGCATGTACACGAATCCTATAGAAATTGAACATCGTTTGAACGATTCTTCTTCTCACGTATCTAGACATACAAGTCATTTCGAGAATTTGAGGGTGTGGTTGTGAGCTTTCTTCTCAATCACATCCACACCTGCATCCAAAATATCTTCTGACACGATAGTACAATCAAAAGTTGAGTAGGATGATATTACACGCTACAGTAATGTGCTGTTTGAACCTGAAGCAGCTCAACAGGTCTCATTTCGTCGTACAACAATCATTGAACAGTCTGATATAATAGTGATAACGTGGAGACTTGATATGGATCTAGAAAAAAAAGTTTGGATGACCCAAATTAAAGTCGATATCATCTATCAATCCTTGCAAAGTAGTGTTGGCACATACAGATGACAGATGGAAATCGAATGGTTTCATAAAATATCGTCCAGATAGGTTACGTCATTACGTTTTAGAGAACGTTACAGTAGACTAATTTATATGAAACAATTCAGAGAAAGCGTTCTTATTTATGAGCACATTATGATATGAAATTCGAACACATCACGAATATAAGGGAGATTGATACCGAAAAATCTGACATTTTTTGTACCTTGAGTATTCGTTATTACTCGATCTAGAACTAAATTCTATTTGGTTCTCGTCTAGATAAAACTATCACTGTTGCTGAAAACGAACTGTTTGATGATGTCTCCGGTAACTCGCAGCGGCCTATATATAAAATTAGGAATTTTGGCAAAAAGCAGAACCTCGGAAATTGATTCACTTTTTTTGTTTGGAAGACATCGATTTATGAACGAATCAAGTGCGGATGAACTACTTAAAGTTACGTTGCTTCGAGATGCAGAATCTTTCCTGGAACAAGGAGAAAATTATGGCCAATATTCCCGACCGATAAAAGTATGGAATAGTTTCTCGACTGTTTATTTAGCACGATATCGAGAGAGTTAGGTTGAGTTGCTCATTGTGGAGCTCTCTTTTTATTTAAAAAGTTTAAAAAGCCATATCGATTTTTTATTTGGTTTCACAGTGATGAAACTACCAAGTGATCTGATAGCTGTGGTTGTTTGTTGTCGTTTCACCTCGTCTTAAGT